TTTGTGACTTCCGCTTTCAAATGAATAAATTGGTCTGTTACCTGAGTGAGTGATGTATTTAATTTTGTATCAAGTTGTCGCACAAGATACTTAACATCATCGTCATCATCATCATCATCATCCACAACAACAGCAATGACAAAAAAAGCAGCCTCTTGTTGTCCTCTTTCCATTCCCATTGGTGAAACACTTTTCGGTACATCAACTTTCCGAGTGTGATTCACAAGCATATCATTCAACCACAATATGCTTATACAATGACACCCTAATAGGACGTTACTACCGAGCCACACTCAAACCTCGATGCATAACATTTGTTTTTCTCGGCGCTCTATACCATCTCACCTGCGCAAATGAACAGTTCCTCTTTTTGAGGGCTACGTTTGTTTTGATGGAAGGCAAGAAAACAGCAATTAGTAATTTGAGGTCAAATCTATTTACAGACATTCGTAAGTGTAGACAGTATGCAATCCAACCACTGTCATTTATATTTTCATCTTGAGGTGAGGTTCGTAATTCTGTCATTCAGGATGGTTTACCGGAACGCATCAGAAACTTTGAGTAGGAGAAGCGGGCGGACTGTTTTACCGGCCAATCGCCTCTCGGTTGGAGCATGTTCATCAATGAATTGTGGGTATATGTGAAGGGCGGAAGAAACACTATGTGAAGCTAATGTGCTAATCCAAATGGAATAGAATCAGAGACAGATTCTGTTCAACAAATTCCTCACGTGATAACGGTTAGTTGAATTTACAAGACGGCATTTATACAGCGTTTAATCAACCCGTGATTCAGATACACACATGCCGTTCCAAAACACTACCTCAACATTATTGGATGGTAGTAGGAAGTTTCAATATTGAAAACTGCATATCACATGTCATCAGGATTTATAAATTACCAGTATCTTAGTGCTTTTTAAACCCATGATTAGTATTGCGAGTGATCTTCCTCGAATTTCTGCAGTTTTATGTCGTGGATAATTGGACTCCGCTTTCTGTATGAAACAACATTACGTTTCTATGAATGGATTTAAGAACGCAACAAGTAATCCTCCACTTTGAAATCAGTTGGATTTGTGATTTGTGTCTTCAGATAAAATACACTTTATTGGCAAGATCCAGTAAAAGCAGAGACTGACAATAAATCCTAAGCGAATTTTAATGTAAACGTATGAAGAAACATCTCACCAATGATCGATTTGGGCGTTACCCGTTACACTCCCCAATGTTTGCTTTTTGAGAAAGAAGTTTTGTTACTGTATTCTGTTTTGCAAAAATTTGTTTTGAAGAAGGAATTGAACGGTCGCTCATCCCAGAACCTCTTACAGCTTCATTTTCCCGACAACCCAACCGACAAATGATCATCGATCCGATGACTGTGAATACAGCCAGTCATGTCTTGAATTCCACTGATGTCAAATCCCACTGGGCGAGACTACAGTGAACTATGCATCAAACAAGAATTGATGAATACGTCCACCTCCCCCGGCATAGTAAGCGTATGAATAAATGGTTACATCGTAACCAAAGCAACCAAAACTCTAGTCACTTGCTCCCTCTCTTTAGCGAGCATGCGATTCAATTTGTACTGAGCACAAAGCTGAAAAGTAAACTGCTTCTAGCCGCGTGTTTTTGACATTCTGTTTATGCGTAGTTCAGTTCATAGCTTGACTCACGTGGTCCTTATAGTTTTAACTTCATGGTTCGAATTATATCAGGTGAAACTCAATACTATGTCTGTTCTTCTTTGTGAATTTCTCTCAGTTTTTCACGGACGAAGCACTTGTCTGTAAGTGATTCCTTGCTACCGCTTAACCCTAACTCACTTCCTATCGTTTGATCTGAAAAAAAACATTAGCCATCGGTTATGCTTCTGCCTAGCTGTGTTAAGCGTGGTGAGCCCGGAGTACACTCGTTTCAATTGCTAATAAACGTCATCAATGAAAATAATACGAGTGCAAGAAATTGTTTTTGTATAATCCAATTTCTAGTGTGGATTTGAAGGATAAACAACTGTTACCACTGCTTGGTAACTATATGTATTTACATTATTCTATCAGTTTTGTTTACTATGGGGTGCACCTGAAGGTTGACAGCTAACATGTTTTGGAATTATGCTGTTCAATGTACTACGTGTCTGCTCTTTTCAGTTATATTTTTCATAATTCCCGAAAACAAATATTGCTGTTGTGAGATACTACTTACTTGTGAGTAGTAAGTAACATGGATGGTGATTTCTTTCAATGTCCAGAAATATAACAAGACCATTGAGGACCACGTGAGGTGTTTGACAGAAGAACTACCGACTGTTCTATGCCGCCAGGATCGACAATGGCATGTTTCTGATGAGATGTTTTGTGTTATGTATGGCAAATTGGTTATATTCCATCTGAAACACTCAATAATTAACTACCCTCGACCAGCACCGCCTTCTGGGATTAGAACATTACCACTGTTACTACTGCTAGTACTATTAATAGTAATGATAGTAATGTCGGGTTAAATTTCAGTGCAGATAAATTTTCAAACTGCGCTGAATCTAACGAATGTCAACTCTTTCATGTGAGTAATGGAGGATTTCATTTTTATTCATTTTCCATTTACACAATGTAGCACAACCCATCTTTGAAAGTTTGTTGCGGGCCACGGACCCTGCTCAACTCAGTACTAGCCTCCGGGGTTATGACTCGGTCGGAAACATTCAGAACCTGACTGATTATTTCATGTGAGCAATGGAGGATTTGGTTAAATTTCAAATGGGAATTCGTCGTATATATAGCAAATGAAGCGTGAACTGAAAAGCTCGGAAGCACTGGACAGCTGTTTCGACCTGTTTGGGTCTCAACAGCAACAAACTTTAGAAGATGGGTTGTGCTATATCGTGTAAATGGAAAATGAAAAACGGTCTGATCAGCTGATCGGTGGCGTAGTGGGTAGCACGCTTGCGTTCTGCCCATGAAGTTCCGGGTTCGATGCCCAGTCGGGTCGATGGATTCTCACTGCTGATGAGACCCAACCAGGTCGAAACAGCTGTCCAGTGCTTCCGAGCTTTTCAGTTCACGCTTCATTTGCTATATACACGACGAATTCCCATTTGAAATGTCAACTCTATCGAAAAATGGTATGTACTCATATTATTGATGACGACTGTGAAGAACTTGTTCAAGTCTACAGAAAAACGCTTCAAGGCTGACCACGTTTGATGGAGATAAAACGTGATTGTATGGCATATGAAACATTTATCCGGCTATCAGAGTCCGCTGCAAGTTTTGCCCTGTCTCATGCACCCGTCTTCGTCCCAGTCGGTCATCGAGGAATTCTGTGTGAACTTTCCTGATACAATCCAGCACAAATCACATGAATCACATGATTTTCACGGGTGTTCGTTGACTATTGTCCAACTGTATTGAATATCCATGTTTTTGCTTGGGACAGGGCATTGCTATCCTATCTTTTTCTGATGATCACGCATAAATCAGTGGGAAGTAGATGAGGCCAATCGCGTGTAACATATCCCCTTCTCACGACCTGTCAATACGTAAATTGTTATATTGATCATATGAAATAGGGCTTGCAATCGTTTGTGTTAATAATGATTTTGGTGTCATTGGTAAGATTATTTTTCCTCCGACAAAACAGTCACCGATTTTGGGTTGTCATCGGAAAATAACTACCAAATTTCCCTCGAATGTCGGGAAGATGATCATTTTTATCGACGACAGTGTGTTTGAATAATATACTTGTCACTGTAATCAATCAGAATTTACACTTTTGAATGTGTCACATCAGAAATATAAACACCATGGAATGGAGAGCCTCAAGAGCGACGTCTTTAATGACGTTTTAACAACAACAACAACAACATTAGTACCATTTTGCAGTCAATCTCCTGCTACGTTGCACCCGTGAAAAGTCGTATCTTACACTATCTTTCCACATTTTAGAAAACCCGACCCAACTGTATGCGTCATAACGTAGTTCCTGACCATATAATGTTACCACTCTTAATATGTCTCTTTTGGTGATATCCAGTCACTTGGTCGCTGACCAATTTTCGGCACGGTCATTGACCAACCAACAGTGCAGTGTAGCGCTCACCCAATGGCATTTCAAAACGTGTGACGTGAAAATGATACTGCTCACTGGTTGGATAATCTCGGCGAGGTAGCCAATCAACTAACTTCAAAATTTACAAGCGCCTATCGATCAGAGAAGAGAAATGTGTTGGAAATGCTGAATCAATCAAGTACAACTCAGATTTGCGTAACCAAATCACTTGATATTTCAAGAAGAATTGTTTGCACTTTTAGACCCCAATAAATGACTATCGGAAAATTTGTGAACGCTGAAGCATCTCAGGAAAGATTCCACTTGATAACCAACGAAACGTTCAAGACAGTGAATGAGGCCACCTTTCCTTGTTTTACTGCTATGGAACAAAAGCACAGTGGAGAGCATCGTTTATAAGAACACCATCTAGCTAGCACAAAGAATGCATCATCGTGATATCATGACGTCAAAAGGTCGATCTCGCTCTTAGTCGAGCAGATCTGATGTTCAATTCTACAAAGTAAGAAACAAGTAACTGCTATTGTGAATTAATTTGTAGATTTTTGTAAAGAAGGTTTGCCGAGACCACATGATATATTAGGCAACTTTCAAGTGGGATTACTACACTTAATCTGTAGGTATTTTGACTGTGATACTTTCATTAAAGATGAAACAGCTTTGTGTTACAGGTAGCTCCCAGAAAGAACATAAAGTCTCAAAGGAGAAACAGTTTATGAATCTAAGCAATCTAAAGAAAAGGTTTGCTACTGCTTGATGGGAGCATGACTGGAGACAGGTTATCACAATTTGTTGTAGGAATATTTTAAACTCACCAATGTCTTCGAAGTACAAATAGAAAAAGTCTTCCGTGCGGTGAAAATTCTTAAAAAAAACGCGTGGATGAGTTGTGCGTTATTTCACAGTTGACTATTTAATGTCAACCGCAAGATGGTTTCTGAAGGATGCCCTATCACCGATGAGCAACTTAGCATGAAAGCCAAGGTAGACGTTCTCATGGGTATGCAACTGGTGAAGAAAGCTTGGGTGTCTGTGCATCTGCGCGTACTGATCAACTCTTTCCCAAAACCTATATTCAAACCCACATTGAATCAGCTGATAATGCAAACTCCAGAGGATAAATGCGATCCGATTGAAAACTTCAATCACTATTATTCACAGTTCACTCTTGCCTGAGTATGCAACTGATTTGAATAGCGGCTTTGCTGAATTCCAAATGACAGCGAACCTAAGACGAACAAAAATTTGCGATTTTCAAAAATACATCTTTGTAACTCGCGAAGGTTTCTTTTAAAATTCTACGAAGCACTCGAATATAGTCATTTTTGTTACAGTGGTCACCAAAGCCACTGCCATTCGGTCTATCGATGGTCTGTCACAGTGAATTGCAAACGGGCGAACAATAAGCCCGACTGACTGGCAAGAAGGTATGTGGATCAAAATGCCAGATCCAAGTGAGTCATTCAATGCGAGAACGATAATCGCACTATTCCTTGGCAGAGCACCGATGCATTTAAAGAGAGGTAACTGACCAAAGGCCATCTTAACCCGGATCTAACACTCCCCTAATTGTTTAACTGATGCACTTCTATTTTGTGAATCCCGTTATGGCGTCATGTGTGGAATTTGATCCTTCACTAGGCTTATCAACACTGGCCATAACGAATGTGTCAATCGGTTGGAACAACAAAGGCGAACTGACAAAAATATGTCTACAGAAGCTAATGGTGCACATTTTTTACTGGCGAACAATCAATTTTTGAATATGGGAAAGAAATTCATGTACTAAATATACCCGCAACGGATATTTACTTATTTTAGATGACTGATTTCTTTCGTATTCATTTCTGTCCCTTGTTATCACTGTGTTTGACCTGGTGCAATCTTATTTTCAACGAGTGGGTTAATAATGATGCTGCAACTGTTACAGCTTAAACATTTACATTTTGAGATGGACGCCATATACTGAACTCTGTGTTTAGCCTAAGATTATAGATTGATGAGGGAACATCTGGAATTCGTATGTAGTAACTGAAAGTTTCGGGATAATTTCACACTTTGAACTGAAAAAAGACTGAATACCAGATGCAATGTACCGATATTAAGCTAACGGCATCATAAAGGATTTTAGTTTATCCGATGCATACAGAATACGCAACGCGGTATAATAAAACCCCGCTATAAAAAATAGTACATAATTACAAATATTCGGAACAATTATGACAATTAAAATACATTTCATTGATTCGGTTCATTTTGACAGAATACTCCCAATTGATTCTTCATACTACTTACTATCATCTGTTACTGACTAACTTTCTATGTCGCAGGTCCTGTATTTTACCTACTATCTAACGCGCACCCTTCGATTGGCTGTGCTATATTTGTGTTCAGTATCGCATCGGAATTTATTGCTTGGTTTCTGCCATGTTCTCTCGACGTTCGTATCCCAGGGAATTATGGCTACGCCTAAAGAATATTTATTATTATTCTGTATTATCCAACTTACATGGTTCTGACTAAACTGGATTTTCTGCTCCGAGTAAAACACGAAAGCGTGCCGGATGGCAGACTGCATTTGCACACATTCCTCTTTAATCAGTTCGAATATTCGTTGGCTGTTTAACAAACGCCCTGACCTCACGGATCTAATAACTTATTGCGTGCATACAAACACGTGTGATATGCATACAGGAATCGTGGTTCAACTATAACAGAGACGATTCGCTGGTCAACATACTTAGTTTTACAAGTTTTCGACAAGACAGAGAGGGAAGCAAAAAGAAGTCCGGAGGCGGGGTAATAACCTGCATTAACTCCAGTTGGTGCGGCAAATCTGAAACGTTGTCTGCTTTTTCCTCCTATGGTATCGACTGTCTAACTGTTTCATCTCGACCTAGGTTATCCCCTTATCGGAACACAATTAGTATAAATCTATATTTTGCCTCTCCTTGCTCACAAACTGAAATTATTTCTTTCTACGATGCATTTGTTCATTTCATTGCTCTTTTAGTGGATGATAATTTAATTTTAATTGTCGTTGATTTTAATCACGGATCAACCCAATCTTTACTTTCTTTCGGTCTATCAGACCTCTCTATAACACTCACCAGAGGAAATGCCGTTTCGTAAAAGGTTATTAGTAAACATCCTAATAGTTTCTCTCTCAAACTCAAGGCGCCAGTCTCGTCTAGTGACTACTTTCTCCTACATCTTAGACCAAAGCTTTACTCTCGCTTGGCTTACCACGCTTTTATTCGTGCAAAACAGATGAGCATGAAAATTCGGAATCTTTCAGCCAGACTCCATTTCCTGAGGAAATCTCTTGCTATCATCTCTTCAGGGTTTTCCGTTCAACAGTCTTCTCTTTCTGTTAAACATTTTACAGAAACAGTTAATGCGATTTTCAATCTTTGCTGTCCTATAGAAACAGCTTTGTTCACACTGGCAGAGTGTGCTTTCCGCAATTGAAAGCTCTCAGAAGATAAAAAGAATTAGCGCTTGTGATGCATAAAAACAGCCTACACTGGAAATCAAGACAGAGATCAAGAGACTGAATACTTTATTCACAAAGCAGGTTCTGGGAGCTGGAGGTGAAAGACGGCTATGGCAAGGGATCAGATTGCTTTGCGGACAGAAGAAACGGACAAGGAACAAAATTATGGAAGTGGACAGCCTCAATGCTGCATTCATTTATACCTTCAAATGATCTCCTGTCTCCATAACCCACAGATCATCTAACTACCATGGACCCAGTCACACATGAGGAGGTCTATCATCTTCTCAAAACTACGAAACTCACGAACGCAGTTGGCCCCGATGGTCTGGTCTCCTTTCGTCATTGCATAAATATGGTGCCAGCTCCGCCACAGAGATGTTTATGTCCTTTATTAATCAATCCATTTACACATGTTTGATTCCAGATTCCCGGAGACCGTTCACCATTGTTCCCATTCCTAAACCCTCTTCCTCTAGCATTTTATCTAAACGCTTTCGTCCTGTCGTCATCATCTTCTCTGGACTTAGACTTGCAGAACGCGCTATTCTCACCCGCTTGCAATCTGGTATTATTGTTCCCAATGACCCCTTACAGTTTGCGTAAAAGCCAAATAGATGCAACTTAGATGCCGTCTTTTCAGTAATTCACTTTATCTGCAAATCTTTAAGTGATTCTAAAAAGTCCGGTTTTGTGTTTTCCTTGACCATTCCTCCGATTTGGGTTTTCTTCTACGATCTCTTCTTTGTCCAAGGTTACAATCATAGGGTTACCCAACCAACTTACTTCCATGGTAGAAAGATTATTTCACAGGAGGGATTCACAGAACGAAAGCAAACGGCACTATTTCAAAACCGTTAATGAATAATTCTGAAGTCCTTCAGGATGCTGTGCTCTCTCCCTTCTTATTTTCAACTTTCATCAGTGACTTACCCTCAATCCCATCAGCCAAAACCTTTAAGTATGCAGATGATGTCTTATGTCAAGCCATCTCAAACCAATCGGACAGAGAATCATTTTCCGACAGTTTACTACAAGTACAATCAGTCTCGAATCAATCCGGTCTCCGTTTGAATACTTCTAAATCTTTTGAATGCGTTTTTAGTTCATCCTGATCTGATTTTTTCTCGGAACCCGCAGTCATCAATCCCGGACTCGTTACCAGAAAACATACCACCAAATACCTAGGAGTCACCATGGATAGCAATCTACAGTGGTCCTCTCATGTGCTAGCTTGTGTTCGTAGATTGCGTCGCTTATCTTTTCAAGTACGCAAGCTTTGTCAATTTTGCGTCAGACATGGAACTGTATGTTCATCTGTTTATCAATGCATTTTTCCAGCCATACTTCATTGTTCGCCAGTCATTTTCTCTGGACTACTTAAAAAGGATTTCATTACTGTACATCAAGGTCTGGTAATTATCCTCCGTGTTTCTCCTATTCTTTTAAACACTCTGAACACAAAATTGGGCAATTGGCTTATCATTTTATGTGAGAATTTTGCTCATAAGCTATTCAATGACCCCAGTCATCCGCTCACTCCCGATTTATCTGCTTGCCGTTCCCACACGCTACAACCCGATCCAATTTTCGCTGCTTACCCTCCCGCATAAACATTTATCGCAACTCAACGGTTCCCAATCTGGTTCGTATTCTCACTGAAACGGCGAGGATCCGTAACGAACTAATTTTAAGCTTACAAAGATGAACACCATTTAGTTTTATCATTGTTGTATACGAATTTTGAATCCATTTCTTTTTTTATCCCATTGTGACGCTGAACACATTTTTGGTTGAAATGTAGGCATAGTTTCCTGCAGAAGTCATCTATAATACAATACAATTCCCGATTGGTGGGAAATGGCAGAAAACTGAGTTCTATTTGTACCTTTACAGGAATAGAGGAGACGATCAAGTAACTGACTGACAAAGGAAATCATGAAGTCGACACAGTTCAAATGAGGGATTTTATCAGCATCATCGATGTCGGTCTCAAAGGAATAAAAAATTGGTTGTAAGGCGAAAAGCACCCTTTGAGTGTCTCCATTAGAGGTGTTAAACAGGATACCGAGACCAATACTAGCCCCAATGTTTAAAAATAGCCTACCGGTTGTCGATTTTCACATCGCTGACACGGTCCCATGTAGCACGTGGAACTTGGCTTCGAGTAAACGGGATTGCTTGGTAGGGTGTTGTGCATTTTTCTCTATCCGACTAGGCTGAAGCGTCACATAATTCTCTGCGGGTGGTTTAGCAGGAATACAAACCAGCAACGTGTAGCGTGGAGGTGCTCAGTTTCAAACAGATTGGCAATCCAAACCATATGTTACGTTGCGTTAGAAAAAACCTAAATCCATTAAATAACTTTTCACATATCTCTGTTCCTTTTAAATTCATCCCGAAGGTTTGAGGTCACGGGAAAAGGAGGCATTCCAAGAGATACAGCTACGTGACAAAGTTCATGCTCAATCCCTGGCCTTCACGTGTATCAACAAGAACCGGTCGATAAGAAATACGCATTGATGATGAAAAGCAGCATGCTAATTGAATCACGTGATCATTTGTTTAGTAGATGATGACGATGACAATGTTAAACGATTATTATCCACAATGTTCACTTTGAGATGGGTAATACTGAACGATTTCCTTTGTTTTTCCAACATCAAATAATTGTTTTTCT